AGATTGGAATTGGGTGGTTTCCCCACAAAAAGACAGAACTTCTGAGAAAAATATTGAAAATACACAAGGCAGACTAGTAAAGATTTTTTTTTTAATTTAATGGATAATTTGGAGCTTGATGTATGGAGATATAAAAATGGTGACTCAAAAGAATATGCTTATTTTCCTGAATGACATAGATCTTTTTTTCAAGAATAGATACGATTTGGATCTCTCAGACTTTGGCTATTAATGTCTATAAAGTGGAGATGTTCCCAAAGACTTTCCCAGATCACAATCCAGTGACTTTAACTTTTAAAAGGAAAAATGGCGCTTTTAAGTGGAGATTGAATTAGATGTTGTTACCGAAAGAAACAGTAGTGGAGGATTGCAAAAAGAAGTTAAAAGAATTTTTTGAGAATCATCTTAAAGGCACAGAAGTAAGAATGGTTTGGGATGCAAGCAAATCTTTTATAAGAGGATATTTCAGACAACGCAACAGTGGATTTAAAAAGGAAAGGCAAGAGAAAATACAAGTGATTTTGGACGAGATTAAAAAAGGAGGAAGAGTTAAAAAAGATTCCCAGAGAGGACAACTATTGCCCTCCAAACTAAGCTTCTGCAGAGGCAACTCTCCGTGTTAACAGTGAGAGATGGAAATAAAGATGAAGAATGCAAAACAAAGAAATGTTGAATTTGCAAATAAACCGGGGAAATGGTTGGCATATAAGCTGCGAAAAGAAAAAGAGTGATACTGAAGTTACAAGAAGGAAATAGCGTAATAACAGATAATGCAAATATGCGAGAAGCGTCTCGTCAGTATTATTCTACTTTATATAAAGGTCAGGACATTTCCTCGGAAAAAGCGGACGGACGTTTACACCCCTGCTTATGCGTAAAGGTCTTGCAAAGGAAGCCGTCTGCCCTCGGCGGCTGTGAGAAGCTAAATGGAGAATCCAGAGGCTGGAGAAGCAACTCCTGAATCCTTTTATCCCTGCAGCCCCTCTAGAAGACGGGCGCTTGGGAATCTTTGCTCCTGATGCCTTGAGAAAGCTGGGTGGCCATTATGACCCCCCCCCCCGCCACCACTTGTCCACGTGGGTTGAAATGCAACTCCAGCCCTCACCACAGCAGGATGATGGGGCTGGTAGTCCAGGCAGCAGATGGGGGGAAACGACCTGCGGTTTTCTGTGCTCAGTTCCACTTCCCAGATGTGTTGCTTTACCCTTGTTTCAAATCGCCTGTCTTGCTTCTTGCAGTCAATATTTTATTTTATTTTATTTTATTTCACTTCATTGAGGGAGGGAAGGAAAGGAGTGACCCCCGCGCCTGCTGCAATTCTTCCTGGGCTGCGCAGAGCGATGCAATCGATTCGAAACCATAAAAAATAGCAGCCACGAGGCATCGGGAGCACTGGGGAGCACAAGCTGGGCTGCATACACTCCGCGGAGTCACATGACCAGGAGGGAGGAGGGAGGGGCTTAGAATGGAGCAGCCAGCAGCCCCCCCAGCCCCCCTCCCCATAGTTCGTGGGGGGCGGATTTTTCAGGATGCTTTTCTTAGCAGCCCCAGCCATTCTCAAGCACGGTCTTTCTCTTGCCGGCTTCTCCCCCCAGCCCCCCAACCCAAATTGGGCTGTTCTGTCCAGTTTTTGGACAGAGACCCCGCCAAGATGTTGCCCCTTGACATCGTCTCTTTCTGGTGTCCGCTTGGGCTGGAAAGAAAAATGGAATTGTTTGGGGAAAGGGTTAAATGAAGGTAGCCTTCGAGGAAGGTCAGTCTAGAATTTATCCCTTTGGCACGATGCCCGGTGATTACGCGCCGTTTTTGTGAATAGAAGGGACTTTCCTGAACCCGGCCCCATCCTGCGCCCCCCGTGAGCTGGCCCTGCAACTTATAGGATGTTAAACTGGGGGGTTGTGGAAGAAAGCAGGTGAAACTCTTCCTGCAAGGTGGAATGGCCGCAATGCACTCACTGGGGCACCTAAATTGGCTAAATAAATAACAAACAAATCTCCCCTTTGTTTTGAAATTAGGTTGATGCCTGCCTACTTAGAAAGCCGCCTTCGATTCTTTAGGTCAAGCTCCACGTCTGCATCCGTTTTGCTAATGAACACCTCCAGTAAAAAATTCCTAGACCCTTTTCTCCCAAACTGCGAAAAGCTAATTTTGCAAAGAGCCCTCGATGCTGCGGCGGTGAGGTCAGCGTCTTCCGCTGGCAACCCTTCCTGACCCACTTGGGGGCCTTTGCTGCCAGGTGCTCAGTGGGGCCCCCTCCCCTCCTCCAGCCGCCTCTCGTCTGGCAGCGGGCCCAGCTTCTTCCCTGAATTGCAGAAAGGTCACTTCCTTCTCCCGATGCAAATTGCTCCGGGTTGGT